TCATCAAGTCAAGGAGGGAATCACATTTGCTTTTGGGAGCAGATGGTATTTAAGCTGAGTTTTAAAAAACAATAAGTGTTGTGAGGTTAAGAGTAGGGCACAAGTACTTAGTTAAAGGGAATAGGATATGAGAATAAGAGCATAGAGTTTGAGGGAAGCTGCAAGTTGATCATTATAGTACAATGGAAGGCGTTTGTGTGGTGGGCTGGGTTAGGTAAGAGAGAAACCAGCTTCAACCTTATCAGAGCCAGAGGAAGCTCCTTATCATCACACTTGCTCAAAGATCCTCTGATGGTGCTGTGGAGAATAGGTTTGAGGCAAGAAGTCATGTTAGAAGGTTGTAGGTAACCCAAGTTAAAAGTGCTGACACATTAACAGGTGAGGCAAGAAGTCATGTTAGAAGGTTGTAGGTAACCCAAGTTAAAAGTGCTGACACATTAATTGGGACGAGGAGAAATTAACAGAGCCATTAGGAGCTAATGGGTTTGGTGATTACATGATGGGGGAATGCAGGTTGGTGAGAGAGACAGGGTCAAGGATGACTTGGTTTCTTCTGGCTTGGACACCTATGTCCATTGGCCACCTAGGTGCCATTCCCTAAGTTGTATAATACTCGTTCATGGGAGGATTGGCTTGGGGGCCACATTGGGGAGGTCAGATGGTGATTCAGTTTTGCATATACAGAGTTCGAAGGGCATATGAACAAAGGTGTCCAATTTACAGTTGGATTTACAGCCCTGGCTGAGAAATCTGGGGGAGGGTGACTTCTAGTGAGAACTTACAGTAAGAAGAGGGAAGGGTGGAGATTTTAGGGGCTGGTTGGTGCTTCAGTGGAAGATGGAGGAGCAGCTGGAAAGGTAGAAAGAAAACTAGAAGAGTATTACTTTACGGAAATCATCGGAAGAGGGAGTTTAAAGAAAGAGGAGAGTTATTGCATAGTGGGGGGGAAAGGTATAAAAACAGCATATCACCTTTAGCAACAAGTAGGTCCTTTGTGAACCAAGAGTTTCTTGCACTATAAGGAGTCTCTTCACTTTGAGAACATTTTAATGACGTCAAATCTCACGTTATATAGACAGTAAAAGTAAAGTAAAATTTTAACTTCATTTGAGGAAGCATGAATAACATAAGGGTTTCTATTCTTTTTAAAAGCATACATTTTATTTATAAAAGCAGGTGAACACAGATTATATGTAGCTGGGGGAGTGTTTTGTTTAATTTTCATTTTGAGACATTTTTATATAAATCCTTAGTGTACATTCTAGTCTTTAAAGAGTCCAACATAACTAGATAACATACAATTTATATTTCTTTAAATTACCATCCTACTCTTCTAGTTTGGATCTAGTGAAATGTGCAGAGAAGAATATAGTGTGATTTTTAGAAATTCCGCATATCACATATATGTATTAAGCAAATGCTGCTAGAATTCATTTGGTTCTCATATAAAGCCACATTGTTAAATGTTAACTTCAGTATGTATATGTGCATCTTTTTGGAGCCTTAAGTATTCAATTGTAAATGTATTTTATTTTATTTTACTTATTTTGTTTGTTTCTTAAATTCTTTTTAAAAAAATTTTTATTGAATCAGAATTGATTATACATATTTTTGGGGTTCAGCATTGAGATATGTTGATCAAATCAATATTACTAGCATATATATTGTTACAAATTGTAATTATTCTTTATGCCCCTTGTCCAATCCCTCCTCAGCCTCCTTCCTCTCCCTCCCCTCCCCCCTCTAGTCACCCTAGATTTCTTCTCTCCCTCTGAAAGAATAATGGTTACTTTGATTTGCTGCCCAAATGATCTGTCCAATGCTGAGAGGCATGATCAGGTCCCCCAATACTATCATAGAGCAGCTGTCTTTTCTGTCACTATGAAATGGCTCTGTGGAGACAGACATCCTCCTCCTTTCTTTATCTCTGCTGGTGACTCTCCTTGTGTGATCTCACTCGAATGGCTGGCAGACCATTTGTGTGGTGGTTGTGGCATCTAGCTGCCTTCACGGCAGCCGTGGTTATCGTGGTGGCTGTGGTGGGCCACCCACACGAAGGAGATGTTTTTGGCCTGCTCTGTGGTGCTGGCAGTATGCCTGGTTGTGGACAGTGTCCGATCCCCGGTTCCATGCCCTGGGTCCCTGAGTGGGTCCCGAAGTGCTGGCATGACGTGCCTGATTGTGGGAGGGGGGACCAGTCCCCTTTTCCATGCCCCAGGTGCCAGGGCAGGCCCCAGGGTGCTGGCATGGGGTACCTAGTTGTGGGAGGAGGATCTTGTCCCCGGCTACATACTCCAGGTCCCTGTGTGGGCCCCAGGGCACTTGCATGGGGGGCCTGGTGGTGGGAGGGGGTCTGGTCCCCTTCTACATGCCCTGGGTCTAAGGGCAGGTCCCAAGGTGCTGGCACAGAGTGCCTGGTTGTGTGGGGGGGTCCGGTCCCCGGCTTCTTACCCCGGGTCCCCAGGTGGGCCCCAAGGTGCTGGTGTGAGGTGCCTGGTTGTGGGAGGGGGTATCGGTCCCCTTCTCCATGCCTCAGGTCCACAGCAGGCCCCAAGGCACTGTCATGGCATGCCTGGTGTGGGAAGGGGGTCCTGTCCCTGGCTGCTAGCTCTGGCTCCCCAGGCAGGCCCCTAGGTATTGGTGGTATGCCTGTATGTGGGAGTGGGGTCTGGTCCTTGACTCCAATCCTGGAGTTCCTGGGTGGGGCCCTGAGGTGCTGGCGGTGTGTGTGGTTGTGGGTGGGGGTCCTGCCTCTGGATCCATGCCTCATGTCCCCTGGTGGGCCCCAAGGCATTCATGGTATGCCGGGGCCAGAACTAAGTTTTTGTACTTTGCTTGCTTCTAACCCAGGGGAGCTTCCTGTGGGAACTAGTACTTGAGCTGTGTGGTTGAGGTAAATTGCTGCTTTGCTGCTGTTTCCCTAGGGAAGGCTTCTTGTGCACCTCAGGGTTTAATGGTTGACCTTATAGGTACTTCCGGCTCTCCAGATACTCAGTGCACCTGGGTTGTGTAGAAACTCTGATCTGGGGCTGAGTTTTTTTCATAGAACTGCACCCCATGCAGTTCAGCATTCCCAACCAGTCATCTCTGACTGGTCCTGCATTGATTGGGGGTCAGATCAGCTGTCCTTGCTGTGTCCCAGTGTTCTCCCTGGTGGGCCTGTCTCCCCCACTTCCTGTGCTCCAAACATTTCCCGTGGGACGGGCCATGCGCTGGTCCCTTATAATGACTCACCGGCCTCTGAGTGGCTCCCCTTTTTCAGCTGTTCTGGCTCCTTGCTCCTGTGTGGGTCCACGGGAACCCTGTTAATGGTCTTGCTGTCCTGGGGGCCACCAAAGTCCTCTTCTTCCCTTTCGCCTCCAAGTAACTCCATCTGAAGGGCACAGCTGCGGCTTCTGCTGGCTCCTGCCCCGTGCCCGCCAGCATTAAAGTGGCTGCAGCCCGAAACGCTGAGAGCAGTTTTTTCTTTATGGTTTCTCCCACCTTCATGAGTTCCATAGGTCTCTCCTCCTCTTCACCTGAGCTCCAGTGGCCCCAGCTTGGCTGATGTTACATTTTTATAGTTGTAAATTTGTTGATTTGTGGTTGTAAACGTATTTTAGAATGACTACTGGAGCTTGTAAACTTTTATGATTTATTAAAGGTATAAATGCTATCTAGATATGTTATTTTCATTAAATATTTTATTATTTTTGTAAAGTATTTCTCTATATTTACATAAGTATCCTTATAATTTTGAAACTTTAAAAATCTATAAATGGATGTTCGAGTTTTTAATATAGTATTTTAATTAGAGTATTTGGTTTTCTTATATTGCAAGCAATACACACATTTCCAATAGAGAAATTTATGTTTTTAAAAAGTGTTTTTTCTTTTTCCCTTAAGGATTTATAAGGCATTCTTGGTGTTATCTATACCAAAGATCTGAAAAGAAGACAGGTCTTTTTCACAAAATAATATATAGATTTTAAAACAATTTTTCTACTCAGATTTTTTTCTTTTCTTTTCTTTTTTTTTTTTAAAGATGACCGGTAAGGGGATCTCAACCCTTGACTTGGTGTTGTGAGCACCACGCTCAGCTAGTGAGCCAACCGGCCATCCCTATGTAGGATCCGAACCTGTGGCCTTGGTGTTATCAGCACCGCACTCTCCCAAATGAGCCATGGGCCGGCCTCTACTCAGATTTTTTAAAGTAGAAAATGTTCCCCTCCTTACCAAGATGTCTTACCGTTTACAGCATCATTTCAGAATGGCAAAGGAGAGCTGTCAATTAGTTTAAATCTTTCTTTATATACTTTATATTTTTTGACTGTGCAAATTAATCTTGGTTTCCTGTGCTTCTTTCACGCACATGTTCTCTCTCATACCCTTGTGTACACATGGAAGTGTGAGTGATTGCACTGACCCTTGCTGAATAAGATCGGCTTTACCTTCTGTTTCCATAATGTCTGCATAAGGTTTTTCATTCATGTAGTCATGAGTGAAAATTTATTCTGGCTGTTATTCATTAATATTACTGAAAGGGAGATTTTATGGTTAGAGTATTTTGGTACGATCTACTTGGAAAGCAATCAGTTTAAAGTACGTTGTAGTTTCAATGTAGAGTGTTTCCTTCTGGTTCCAGGTGATTTTAAAGCCTTAATTATCCCATGGTGTTTTTAAACAGACTTTCATATTAGTACATAATATTTCATTTTATTAAGCAATCATATTTAGTTCCATTTTAAATATTTAGGCTTTTTTGAATGTGCATATTCTTCAACACAATTAAGTTTGTATCTTATTGTAACTTGCATGGGAGTTTATTCACTTTTTAAAAATTTGGTTGTCTCCAGCTTGGAATAAAGGATGAAAGATAGTATATAGTTTTCACCCAACAGAGTGGAATTGATATGAAGTTTTAAGTTTTGGTGGTTATTTTTGATTTATTGTGTTTTACTCTTCTAATTTTTATGATTTTGATGTAAAATTTTCAAACTAGTTTTCTACTTCTGATTTAGGTTCAACCTTAAAGTGCAATTGCAGATTCTAGCAAGCTTCATGCTCACTGGAGTTGCTGGAGGTGCAAAGTATGCTCAGAATGGACAGCTTTTTGGTCGCTTTAAGCTTACTGAAACACTTTCTGAAGATACTTTGGCTGGTCGACTGGTGATGACCAAAGTCAATGCTGTTTATTTATTACCAGTCCCTAAAGAGAAGTTAGTACAGACCCAGGGAACCAAAGAAAAGGTTTATGAAGCTACTATTGAAGAAAAAACAAAAGAATATATATTTTTAAGGATATCCAGGGAATGCTGTGAAGAACTTAATCTTCGGCCTGATTGTGACGCACAGGTATGTCTGAAGGCAGTAGCTTAACCAAGGTTGTCTGTGAGGCTCATTGTCAGCTGATATCTTTCTTCTGGTTTGGTTTTCGTTCTCTTGCCATAACCAAAAGTGCAGTTGACTTTGAAGTCTTTCATTCTTTTTTTTTTGGCGGCTGCTCCCTGTGGGGATTGGAACGTGTGACCTTGACCTTGGCATTATAAGGCTGGGCTCTGACCAGCTGAGCTAAGGGGCCAGCTGACTTTGAAGTCTTATGCTGGTAGGTTGCAAATTGGAACTCCCAGAGAAAATTTATTCTTTTTAATTTAAGTAACATCTAGAATGTTCCAATTTTATACAAGGTTGGGCTTTCTGATTAGAGTTTTAAATTAGCAATGGGAGAACAGATTAAAAGAAATTACTTCAAGCTACATTCTGGGACATTTCTCATCTGTTGTATCTGCTCCTGTTCTCTTTGTCTTTATGGGTTTTTTCGGTGAATTGTGTGTTCAATCTGCCATATTTAACTGGAAGGCTAATCTTTTTTCTTTTTAAACATAAAATGGTGAATATTATTTATTCATAGTAAATTGATACAGTGTCATAGGGCTGGTTATCACTCAAGACATGATATTTTACAGATGTTCTAATTTTATCAAGTGTATTCATAGAAATGGTGGAATCAGATAACCTTTATCTAGAGATTAAGTAATCTACAAGTGCCTCAGTTTCTTAGTATGTAATACTAGGTTAATAATAGTATATACATTATTGGTACTATTAAAATGAGGTAATCCATGTAAAGTGCTTATTACAGCACTGGTACTAAATAAACAGAGCAAATATTATCCATAATAATTACTATTAGAATGTGATTACACTTTAAAAGAATCTCTAAACTTGTCCCCCCAAATGGTTGCCTCCAGAAAGTATTCTGGTGAGCTGCCAGCATTGATGTTTGCTTTAATGCCTTTTTAAAAAAAGACATTTATTTTGTATTTCAGGTTGAACTTCAGTTTCAATTAAATCGATTACCCCTCTGTGAAATGCATTATGCGCTAGACAGGATCAAGGACAATGGGGTTTTGTTTCCAGACATCAGTATGACACCCACCATTCCTTGGAGTCCCAACAGGTACAAAAGGAATCTTATTACAGGAAATTATGTTAATATTAAATTATTTATCTGAATCAAATAAGTTAAGCATACTTTATAAGAAAGTTTGCCTGTGTTCTTCAGGTGACATTTTATTAGTTAATAAAGGAAAGTAAAAGAACCCTTAGAACGAAACATTTGAGGTTCATCATCTGTTTTCTTCACTTTTTCCTTAGAGTCTAAATGAATTTTATTGCTTTTCTCAGCAACCTGGATTGGATAAGATGTCAAGCAATTTAGGAATATTTTTGAGTAGAAGTTGAATGGGAAAATTAAGGACTTTCTAATGTGGTTCAAATAGTTAATTTAAAATAAATTTTGAATATAGAAGACATTTTTGTAATTTAGCAAAATGGAGAAAGTATGATAGATGGTACTATTTCAGAAACTGCGTTCAAGTTAATGGTTGTGTAAATATTTTCCTACTTAAATTCTGTTTTGCACGTCTTTGTATGTAATTAAATAAGATACTCCTGTGTTGTTTCAAGAATAGACAGCAGTGATAGCTGCGTGACTGCGTTTTTCTTTTCATCTTTTTCACTGGGTTTTATCCCCTTGGCCGCTGCCCAGGCTTAGCTCATGTACCTTGTGTTGTTTCGTTTTGTTTTGTTTTTAAACTCAGTGGTTCTACACAATAGAAGTTTATTTGTCACTTGTGTCAATCCAATCATAGTAGATTGGCCCTATTCCATGACTGATGGGAGCTCTGGTATCTTCAATAAGTGGTTTCCAAGGTCACCCTGGGTGTTGACGTCCAATTGGCAGACAGGGGAAGAATGAGTACAGAGAATCATGTGGGGAATTTTTATGGGCCAGGTCTAGAAGTGGCATATATCACTTCCCCTCACATTCCTTTTCTTCTGGTCCTAAAAACAGAGCAAAAGAAAATATGCTTTACAACATACAACTCGAATCATTTCTCCCTTTTTTTTTCCCTTTTGTTTTTGCTTACCCTTACTTCCCTATCCCCTTTCTTCTTTTTACTGCTAAAACTCTTTGAGAAGGAATAGTCTGAATATTTCCAGCATTCTTATTTATTCACTCTGTAATCTCTTTTTTCCACTTGCTCACTCTCCTGAAAGTAATCAGTCATCTACTAATTGTAAAAATCCAGTGACATCTCGTCAGTTCACACTTGATTTGGCTTCTCTGCATCCTTCCTTTCTTTCCATTCTTATAGCCAGTGCTTAACTTAGACCTGGACTATTTCAGTAGCCTTCTAGTTGGTCTTCTGTCCTGTCATCTGTGTCCCTGTCCTCTGGTCCAATCCACACATATCTTCCAGAGTTAGTTTTCTAAAATAATCATGTTATTTCACTGCTCACAGATCTCTGAAGGCTTCTCCTTGGTATGTACATCAAGTCTGAGCAGCCTAATACAAAGCTCTATTACGTGGTCTCATGGACTGTGCTTTCTAACAGTGTCTTTTCAGATTTCTTTTTCTTTTTCTACTCAACATTCTCTTTCTCCCTCTAAATCCCCACGCTCTGGTCATATTGAATTACCCTGAAGCTTGTTTAATTTGCCCTGTACCTATTTGCCTCCTTATCCTTTTGTTATTCTTATTTCTAAAAATTTTTAATTTTGGTAAAATCCACATAACATAACACCATCTTAACCACGTTAAGTGTACAGTTCAGTAGTGTTAAATATATTCACATTGTTGTGCAATCAATCTCCAGAACTTTTTGATCTTGTAAAACTGTTAACAACTCACCATTTCCCCCATACCCCAGCCCTGTCTCTTTAAGTGATTTCCTGTCTCTGATATGATCTTTGCCCAATATTAGGCTATTAAAGATCTCCCTATCCTTTAAGATTTAGTCTAGCTCATGTGCTCTCTCCTTCAAGTAGATGAGCCTGACCCTTCCATTTCATTATTTTAACAAAATGTATTGAGTGTCTGCCATGTGCTAGGCACAGTCAGTTCCGTGCTTTCAAGTATAATTTCTCTCCAATTAATTTTTGTCAATTGTGTACATTTCTACTTTTCTCTCTAGACTCTGGGCTTTTTAAAGGAAGAGACCATATCTTATTTATCTTTGAGCACCAACAGGGTCTTACGAATTATTAATATTTGACACACTTAAGTTAATAAGAATTTCAATTTTAAAGAAGAAAACTGGGTTTCAATTATGAGACAGTACCAGTCAACTTTTAGGCATTTTTACTTGATATGGTCTTTTCTGAAAATTATATTGTGTATATCACAGTGTATTCAGATACTACTAAGTGTTAACCACAAAAGTAGCTAAGAAAATGTCAGGTAACAGAAAACTTTCAAGCAGGAAAAGACTTCATACCACTGTAATTTAAACAGTAATTACAAAGTATCTGGGTCTAGGAACATACTGAGAAACCATTAGCCATTTACAATCATTTCTAGGATAATGTGAAATATGGATAGATAAATGAAGTTGAGAAATGGTCCTTGCACATGTAGTCTATAAATTAATTATAATGATTAATTAGGCCAGGAGAAGAAAGGACTTTGAATTAATTTGTTTGGGGAATAAAATAATTTTATTTCACTTTACATTGTTGTAGATTGTGAAAATCAGAAATGACTGGTATCACATATGTTATAAATCTTTTTTGCCTTATTAAGCAGGTGGTACAATAAATAAATACAATTTATTTTATTCATTGGCTTCCTGTAAATATTCATCATTCATGGCCAGAAATTACAGAGACAACTGACTTTGATAAAGCTTCTGATCTGCTCTGAAGCATTTATTTACACTGAAACAAATGATAACCAGAATGGGAAAAATACACATATTGACATATTTCAGAATTGTAACTGTAAATCTGTTATTAAATCTCTTAGATTTGTACTTACGTGTATAATCTCATATCTGTCTCATTCATAAGGTTATTAAAGTCTCCAGATTTGAAAGATTAGAGGGTATTTTTAAAACTTTTTGTTTTTTAAAAGTGTGTACTAGTCAAGTAATATCTCATTTTTCTGAAATCCCAAGAAAACATTATAGTAACAGAAACTAACATCAATTGAGCTTTTATTGCTCAATTATTTTTCTAAACAGCTTTGTATGTATTATCTCATTTGATCTTTAAAATAACTGTGTGAGGCAAGTATTGCTATCTCTATGTATAGATAAAAGAACCCATGGGGTCAGGTATCAGATTCATAGTGGTCAGGTATGGACGCAAGTAATAGTTTTACTGAGCTAACTGTGACTTTAAAAAGTAGAGATGTAGGGCCGGCCCGGTGGCGCACTGGAGAGTGCGCTGCTTGGGAGCGCGGCGGCGCTCCTGCTGAGGGTTCAGATCCCATGTGGAGACCGGTTCCCGCTCACTGGCTGAGTGCAGTTCGGGCGCGACACCGAGGGTTGCGATCCCATTGCCGGTCCCCGGTGCGGGCGCAACACCAAGGGTTGTGATCCCGTTACCGGTCAGTAAAAAAAGACAAAAAGGAAAAAAAAAAGTAGAGATGTAAGCCCACAGGTTCAGGGCTGGTACAGTGGCACAGCAGTGCCATCAAGGACCAAGGTCCCCCTTTCCTCTCTGCCACATTGATCTGGTTTTGGTTTTCTTCTTGATGCTTGTTACCTCATGGTTGTACAATGGCTGCTGTAGTTTTCTTTACCGCAAGCTGTTTCCAGCCAGCTGAAGGAGGAAGGCGAAGGAGCAAGAAGGTCTTTCTTCTAGTTTAAAAAAATTAACTAGTGAGGCTTTGTTTTCGTTTTACTGGGTGTAGAAGCCCTTCTGAGGGATTTCTTGCTGCATCTAATTGACCAGGATTGGGTCTCCAGCAAGGAGGCTGGAAATATGGAGGCTCAGTAGCAGAGGAAAGCAGAGAAGGGTACTGTGAATGGTTTTGGGGTAACCACTCTGTAGCATCTGCTATATTTATTAGGTCAGGACTTAGCAATCACCTAAAGCAGTTTCCTCATTTATAAAAGATAGAACATTGGTAGATACTGGCAGGATTGTGACTAAATAAGTCAGCTAGTGCTGAGGGACTCTTTGAAGTAAAATGTTGGGGATCTAGTGAGCAGCTTTCAGGAAATCTAGTGCCACTGCTCAGAGTTGTCATTGCTGTTTTAATTTAAACAATTTTAAATTTCAAAAAAATAAGTAATGGCGTGTTTATATGGTCAGAATTTGTTTTCTAAGGTTTTACATTTTTTAAGGAGAATTTTGTTGGTTTGATATTATCTGTCATAATATAACATTAGGTATAATTTTTAAAAAAAAATGAAAGTGTTAAGATTTTCCATAAGTAAATAGCTTCTGATTTAAGTAGAGTATAGCTTCACAGAGAGGAAATTTTCCTTTCTAAACCCTGTTCTCCTAATTCAGGAGTATTTTCTAGGCACTTTGCTTGCACATTTTCCAAGAGTATCCTTACACACCCGTCCTATTTTGGTTCACATCCTTATCATTTTTACCATAGTTGTTGTGATATTTAGTATTTTAAATTGTAGTTGTGAGAAAGAATGCTGGTGATTCTCCACTTGGTTTGATCTGTTCCAGCATCTGCTATCCATTTAAATCTTCAAAACTTGGCCAAGTCATAGAAGGGACACTGGTAAGATAGATCATATTACAGGGGCCATCTGTGCTACTGTGACAGGTGTTCTCTAACCTGAAAAATATGACATATTTGTATTATTTGTGTGTGTGTGTGTGTGTGTGTGCGCACATGCAAAAATATTAGAGAACAATTTATACTGTTTAGTTTGGGTACCTTTTTTTTAAAAACTGCTATTTCTAAATTAAGAATTTTGTAAAAATTTGATGTCTCTTACTTAACCAGGGACACATAGGTTTTTCTCTTCCTCTAATTTTAAACCTTGCTAAGAGATTTTTCAATGGATTAGAATTTGAAATTTCGTTAGTTTCCCTTTTGCAATTTTATTTGCTATACAAAGAAACTACTACTTTATTATCAGAAAAACAGAGATAAATTACATTTTTGAAACATTGTTAGTTCTACTTATGGACTTGGCAGCAGCTAAACCAAAAATGTGTGATTTCTTTAGATTAGTTATCAAAATCTTTTTGCACTTGGAATAGAACAAGATAATTAAAGTTAGTTGTGATTTACATGGTAAAACATCCTATGCCGACTCTATTGGGAATTTTCTAAAAAGTAGTTTTAGAATAAGCATTAGTTTTTATAGATACTGTATTATTTCAGCAATTATAATGGTTCAATGAAATTCGGGATACTTGGGTGTCATGTTCTATTCATTAATAAAATGCTGTGTTTAAAATAACTTAAATTTTTATTTTCTGTAGACAATGGGATGAGCAGTTGGATCCTCGCCTAAATGCAAAGCAGAAAGAGGCTGTTTTGGCCATTACCACTCCACTTTCAATCCAGCTGCCGCCTGTTCTCATCATCGGACCCTATGGGACAGGCAAAACATTCACTCTAGCTCAGGCCGTCAAACATATACTGCAGCAACAGGAGTCTAGGTGAGCGGGTGGGATGTGTGTTCATATTTCACTGGCAGGCACTACCTCTGTTCTTGTTTTAAATACAAAATGAGGGCTAACAAGACAATTTTCATCCAGCTCTTAAAAGTCAATAAATAAATAAATAAACAGAGAAAAGAAAAAACCCAAACTAAAACCCCAAAGCACTAAAATTTGAATTCTCTTAAAACATACTGTTTTTAAAAAATGGGAATGACAATAATCGTTTTTAAATAGCCATCAAGGAATTGTGATACATGTTAGAGCCCAAAGAGTTGGATTTAAATATAAACATATATATATATTTTAAATATGATGTATTTAAAAATAATTTGGGGGAACTTCCTTTTTACTTAAAGAGTAAAATTTCCTAAAGAATCATTGAATAATATGTTAGAGATTACTGAGTAGGTTGAGGGAAATGTATAATATTAAGAAGGCCACTGCTTTTTTTTTGGTATTATACTGCTTGAATAGTTTTGTGTTTTATCATTCTTTTTATTTGCACCATTTATTTCAGCAGGATTCTCATTTGCACCCATTCTAATAGTGCTGCTGATCTCTACATAAAGGATTATTTACATCCCTATGTAGAAGCAGGCAATCCCCAGGCAAGACCTCTCAGGTATTTTTTTAAGGCTTATTATGTATATGTGTCATACTTTATTATTCTTAAGAAAAGGTGTCTGTAAAGATTTTAGTAACTTTGGAAATACCAAAATCTTTAACTGTGCATTGGCATTGGAGGTTATGTCTTTTGAAGAAACCATTTCAATTAAGGAAAAATGTAAAATCTTTGACCATTCATTTCTTAAACATTAAGTAAAGAGAAAGACATCCTTTTTTAAGTCTTTTTGTTAAAAATGTTGTTACAACATGAGTAGATTTTGATATGTACTTTTAAAAGCTAGTATGATGAAATAACATAAATATGAATTTAAATTTAATTAAAATTCTAGTATATTTTGCATGGCAGAGTAGTCATGCAGTGACAGTTCTTTATGGAAATAAAATTTTGACTGTGATTATGCAAGTAATTTCATAGAAGCTATACAGTAAAGAAGCATGAAATATGGAAATGAGTTCTACAACAAAATGTAATTCGTATTTACAACTTTTTGCTACCATTTAAGAAGCAAAGAAAATTTTAAGTTGATATGGAAAAGTCCTCTGAGTATATATAAGGACATGAAATATACTTAAATACAGGATTGTGGGGGAATAAAAATCCTTTTCTTCAGAAAACAATAAAGAATCATTAAATGGTTGTTTATTATACCATTTCCTTTCTTTGTTATATGAATTAATGTTTAGTTTTGCCATTTTACAAACTAATATGTCATACCCTAGGTTGTTTGAATAGTTATTGTTTATAAATTAATTTCTAACCACACTTGTGAATCATAATCCACTTACTTTTTATTTTTAGTTGAACGTAGGCATGGAAAAATGAAATTATGCTATTTAACTTTAGTAACCATAACCAAAGCCATTTGAATGATTTTTGAATTGCATTAAAAAAAAAAGAGAAAAAGTGGTGTGGCCTGTTAACACAGGTTTTTATACCATACTTAGTTTTCATTCTGGAAGACCAACAATTAAAGCAGCAATAATTATTTTAAGTAGAATCTTGTTGTATTTAATAAGAAAATATCACATGTATGTAATTACTGTAAATTAAAAGGTGGTATTTATTGAAGGATAAATTCATCGATAACTAGTTTGCTTCAGATTTTAATCTTTTTTAGCTCATAAGTAAAAATTGAGTAGCTAACATTTTTGCTGTGTTTTTAGTTTAATGAAGATAAGTTGTTTATTTTGTTTGCTTTTATTGTTGGTAGAGCGTGTGTGTGTGTGTGTGTGTGTGTGTGTGTGTGTTACGTAGGAAATGTGACAATCTCCATTATCATGGTGTACTTGGTTTGGAAGCAATAGCGTAAAGCCCCTCAAATCTAAGTTGACTTAGCATAGGTTATTTGACATTTGGGGCAGTAAAGCTGTTGTTGATGAACATTAAAATCCATCATTTGGCTAGGTTATATTTAGCTTTTTCTATGTAAAATTATTTTTGGACGGGGCCGGCCCGGTGGCGCACTGCTACAGTGCACCACTTGGGAGCGCAGCGGCGCTCCCGCCGAGGGTTCGGATCCCACATACAGACCAGTTCCCGCTCACTGGCTGAGCGAGGTGTGTGAACAACACCAAGGGTTGCGATCCCGTTGCCGGTCCCGGTCCGGTACGGGCGCGACACTGAGGGTTGCGA